TCAAATGCATCCTAGGAGGTTACAGAGCAGTTTGCACGAGCTTATGCTCTATCTCTGATGGGAGGTGTATTGTTCCCGGATAGGTCTGGAGCTACGGTACACCTACAGTACCTACTTCTGATTGAGGATTGGCATAGAGCTGGACGGTTCTCCTGGGGACCAGCTATTCCAGTACAAGTTGTGGTTTGACGAGATGGAAACCATGGTGGTTAGTATATAATATTTCATTTTATAGAATAGATTTCATTCGTTTGTTTTAGATTTAGGGATAATAACTTGACCAATTTTTTCGAGTAGTGGCAACCTTACGTTGAGAGAGCAGTTCATCTAAGAGGTAGTGTGATACAGTCTGAGACGTTTCGAGCAGTAGTGCCACTGATATGCTTTTTAGCGGTGATGTGGCACCATCCAAACCGCGTGCTCTGGCAGTTTGGCATTAGGCAGCATGAGCCTTATCAGCCACATCCTGAGGCTGAGGTTAGGTTTTTTCTACGTCAGACTTCTCGTGGGCCATCGCGTGGCCAGTAGTTGGTACACGCCTCCAGAGAGTCGCTTGCTTTCTGGAACCGTCGACATGAGTTCGTAGCGACGGCTCCATATAGTGATGAGGTTTTAGACTACCACTCGGAGCATATTGAGTGGTATCAAGATGTCACCAGACATTCAGGCACACTGAGAGGAGCTGTAGTGGAGGCATTGGTTAGTTATTTTTTTGTTTAATATTTATTTGTATTTGATAACATCGTATTTGCACATGTTTGCACCCTCGTTTCTTGATCATTTTGGCTTGAGTTTTTGCTTTCTTGGACTATTTTACGCTAGGTTGTGTTCCTTTGTCACATTTCAGGTCCTAGCATGTAAATTGAAGCATAGGCGCAAGTTTCAAGTCAATCGGAGATCATTTGGCAATTCAGGAGAAGAAACACAAGCATGACATGAGGAATAATGGACTTCTACCTCATATTATGGACAAATAATCATGGAATTTTTTCATGAAAAGAAAGAGGACGAGACTACTAGCGTCTGGGATCAAACGACGACTGATTCGGAGTCCGGACGAGGGAGAAACGAAGCATTAAACAGGGGCGGAGGAAGAATTACGGGCAGCCCCTGCCCAATTATGGCCGTAATTGCTTCTGTCATGCCCGTAAATGCAATGCCGAGCCTAAATCCCTGAGAATTCCTGTCGCAGAGCAAATTACGGGCAAGAGTGGACTCATTTACGGTCGTAATTACTTAAATACTGGCAGTAATTGGGTAATAACGACCGTAATTACCTTCCTCAGAGTTTAGTGAAACACGTGCTTTGGGTGGATTAGGGGCAGACCATGATTACGACCGTAATTCAGCCCGTATTTCACCCAGAATCGGGTTTTTGAGGCAGATTCGAGACAAAGGAGAGAGAGTCGACTTTTTGGAGCAAAAACAGAGTTTTAGAGAGAGAAAGTGCGAAGAACAAACCCTAGGAGCTATTTAGAGTAGATTTCTCATCATTGAAGCCCAGATTGCATCCCCGGGAGTGAAGATTGACATGTTAGGGATCTTGATTGTAATGACTTGGGATTGTGATACTGTTTGGTTTTAATCGAATGATGCATGATTCATTGAATCAATTGAAGTCTGATCATCTTTTCTTGATTTCTGCTGCAACCTGAGATAGATAGAATCTGATTAGGTTGTTAGAGCTTCATCATTCGGTAGTGGTAGATTGGTTATACGAGAGTTAATCAACCTATTGCTTTGTACTGGAACCCAATTACAGTAGTGGAGTTCTGTGCTTATCGCCTCAGCAATCTATCCCGGTGAAGGCTAGTCGCCTGCCGGTTAGCCTGCCTGAGAGGGCTTGGTCAGCTTAAGAGATTCCAAGCTACTGTCGGATCTTCCGCAGTTTAATCAACAGTTAATCAACCCATGGTAATTACAATTGAGACCTAACTAAGGAGCTAGGGGGACTCATTCCCGAGTGACTCTTCCTTTGCTTTAGAAAACCGAACCATTTCCTGCTTTCTTACTGCTTTTAGTTAAAACCACAATCAATCGACTTAGTTTGCTAGATAACAAATATACACGGAATAGGCAGTAGATCTAGACCCCGGGTTGACAATTAGAGCTTGCCTGTTACTGCATTTCCGGACTTCGATTACACTTGGTCGCAGTTTGGTGTTGTGTTTTAGCGTATCAAGTTTTTGGCGCCGTTGCCGGGGACCCTCTAGGTTATTGGGGAAACATGAAAGTTTGTTACTCTAGCTTTTTTTCACTGCATTTTCTCTTTTCCACTTGTGTATCTTCACGGGTTGCTTTTGCTGATTGTGTGCAGGTAGTGCATGACCCGTAGCCAGTCGGGAGATTTACTACCATTAGACCAGGAGCTTGAACGGACCTGTTGGAACTTCAAGCGGGCTCTAAAGGCGCGGCTGGCTGCGGAGGAGGCCTTAGCACAGCTGCAAATCACCAAGGAGGAAGAGATGGGTGACCCACAGAACCATGATGTGGTCTTTCCCGAGGAGCAAACCATGGGGTACTACTGGACCACCAGAGCCGCGGGCATGAGGTCGCCCATTCACCACCCTCAAGTCCCAGCCAACAACTTTGAGGTGAGCACCTCGGTCATCACTATGTTGCGCGGCTCTGTAGTATTCCGTAGCAAAGAGGGGAATGCCCCCGATCATGTAACACCCTAACCCAGACGGGTACTACTTTTACCAACATACGCTTTTATAAATCAGGAAATAAATAACAAATGAAATACTTTGGAAAATAGCAAAAATTTTCATAAATAACTTTAACAAATACTGAGAATAAAATGTAATTTCTTAAAACAAAGCCCTAACACTTGGGCGAACCTGAATCATAAAATCTTAATATGAATCTCTAGTCACTACTCATAATCGTAAATCAATAACTAAACCTCTACTTTGTTGTCTGCTCGGATTCGATCTCTGGCACCTCCAGTGACGCTTGTACTATCCTCCTCTAGCTGGCTTGCCTTGAACAGCTTTCTCGATCTCGCTGCTCACTAACTGCTCCACTAGCTGCAACTATCGATCTAGTTCTCGCTTATTCCTTTACTAAGTCCTGGTGAGTGAGATGGGGTCAGTCTACAACCTTACGTTTTAATAATTCTAATACTTGAGTACTTTACTTAAATACTTAACTTTGACTAGTGGAAGTTGTTTGTACTTCCAATCTTAAAATCTTAACTCTTAAACTTTGAGGGAGTTGAAGTTACTCTCCTCTCTTAAAGCTCAAATCTTGACTTAAATACTTGACTGACACGGGGATCCCTCACTAGCTAGTCCGGTTGCCAACTCATACGTATGAGAAGCCATCTAGGCTTTCCTTAAACTTAAACTTAGTTAGGGGAGTCATAACGATTCATCCCCCTAACATCTTAAACTTATCGTGGTGGCTCTTCACCACGATTCTCAAGAGCATAACTACTGCTCATCTTAAAAGTCTCAAGAGCATAACTGTTGCTCTATCTCAAAATGTCTCAAAAGGCAACGAACTAGCGCTAGTGACTAAAAACACTTAAAACGACTTCACCTTCTTGAAGGTGAGTTACTTCTTTAAAAGAACTTGTTTCTTAAACTTTAACCATGACTCAAGCATAACGCTTTAAGGTAAATAGAACAAAATCACCTCAAATAGCACAAAATCACCTCGAATCATAGCTCAAGCAAAGCACAAATAAGCAACCATAGACATAACCAAGCAACAGTAACCAATTCTCTAAAATACTCAAAATCATAATACTTAAAAGAATACTTAAGGCGTAGAATTTACCCCCTTTTAGTTAAAACCACAATCAATCGACTTAGTTTGCTAGATAACAAATATACACGGAGTAGGCATTAGACTAGACCCCGGGTTGACAATTAGAGCTTGCGTGTTAATGCATTTCCGGACTGCGATTACACTTGGTCGCAGTTTGGTGTTGTTTTTTAGCGTGTTAGTATTGGTCTTGAATTTCCTAACTGTGTGAAATTTATGACAATTTAAATTTTAGTACGACACTTTGGAGCATGCTGAGTTGAGTTTACATGACGGAGTACGGACTGGAGGGTTGTCCACCGACCAATGTGAGGAGTTGGCCAACATGATGGCATCAGGGGTTGCTACTTTAGGTTTGGAGCGACACATACACCCTGATCTCACAGTACCTGTACTACCAGCTTATGATCAGCCCGTCATGGCTGCCTAGCCAGAGCGTACTGATCCGACACCGGACTGGGTCGTCCCGGAGCCACATTTCAGACAGGAGTATAGGCCCCGTAGGCGGCGACGTGAGCATCGTGATGTACCTAACCCAGTCCGGATTTCAGATCGACAGCGATCACAGCCCGTTCGGCCTACTACGACCTTCCAGTTTAATCGTAGTTTCATCCAGGCAAGTATTCGGGACATTGGAGCGGTGCTACTTCTTCAGGATTTCAGGCTGGACCGCGTTCAGCCTTTTAGCCTCCTCCTCAGCCGTAGTTTCAGTCGGATCCTTCTTCGAGCTTCCATCCACCAGAGGATAGCTTCCATACACCGCAGCATGCTACGATGGGAGGCAATACATGGCCTTAGGTGGTGATACTAGAGCAGCCTCGTCTCCCAACCCGTGGGACGCTCTAGAGGGTAATGCGACCTTTCAGGAGACGATGTGGAATTATGAGAAGCATCTTCAGTCTAAGCAGCATGGTGGCGGTGTACCTGAGGAGCAGATTCAGTCTCAGCAAGATGATATGTTCGGTACACAGGATCAGGATGGTGGTGTCGAGGGAGATCAGCCCCAGGAGTATGATAGTAGGCCTTCACGTAATAGGGTGCCTGCGAGGTGTGGTACAGGCGGCCATCTAGTGGTGGAGCATGGTGGCCGTTGTGGTGGTCGTTAGTGAGACTATTAATTTTGTTATGTTATTATTATGTACTTCTTTGGGACTATTATGTGGACTATTTTTAATTTCATGTATTATGTTATTAACGATAAATACTCGAAACAACAAATAACAAACAACAACTCGGACATTTTATAATTTGGCCAACAACAACAAACTACGCATAGAAATACAACCACTACTTCAAACCATAACAACTAAATGAAAAACAACAACAAATACATTTGATAAAAATTCGACGAAACTACATACCACTACTATTACCACTACTTCCTCTTGCACCACCTCTCAGATTTGGTTGGGCACGTACCAAATGTTTGACGGCCTCAGATATAATATTGACATCAAGATGGCGATGATCCGTCAGTTGAGTCGTACTGCTACAAGAATGCACCAACTCGGCCTTTCAAACAGTCCATTCGCTTCCAACATCTCACCATCCAAGGACAATTGTCATCCTTGTGCCTCAAGCATCTGACCTTCCAGATTGAAGGTGACGACTCCACCACGCCATATTGAAAGTTGCGTTGTAGTGCGTGGTATTTAACCGCCATCTGTGCAGCTTGTTTCGAGTGAAATATTTGCCCCTTGTAGAATTCTCCAAAACTAGCAACAACAGGCATTGGAATTACGCCATATGAATCAGCATATGATAATTCGTCGTCCTCTTCATTACCCTGCAAGTAAAAATATGGAGGATAATTAGGCTGCTCTCCTTCGCCATCTTCCTCCTCCTCCTCTTCCGCATCATCCTCCTCTCCGTCAACATCGTCATGATTGGATGGCATGCTCCATGTATCTTCTTCCTCTCCATCCCGATTCTCACTGAGCTCAGCATGTATCTCAGCACCCAAACAATAAGGGTTTTGTGCCATAAAATCGAAAAGCACATTCAAACTATCATCATCCACAATAGGCATCGAATAATGAAATAAAACACCATTCTGCCATTCTGGAAGACGGTAAGTGAAACGTGTGATAACATCACTATCTTGTATTGCTTCGTCTCTACGCCGTATTCTCGGAATTAGATTCTCACAAAGTTTGTGATATGTCACCCTGGATGGAACCGTCAACTGAAAACTACTAACACCAACGAATTTGACGCCCAAATTATCCTCTACTTTCTCCGATTTCCACCGAACGACTAGTTCAAATCTTCTAAAATCACTACAAAAAACAAACTCACTAATTAACTAAATAAAATCATAATAGCATTTGAATAATATAATTAAAAAAAATAAATGTGTCTCTTACCTATTTGACATTTTTGTAGCAGCAACCAGAGCTTCTCCTCCTCAAACTTCGTTGATTTTTTTTGTGGTGAACAAGTTAAACGAAATTCACTGGTTTTATTAGGGGGGAGGGGGTAGCCAGCAATACGCCAGCGGCCCCGCCATAGTCCTGGGCGCCATTGCCAGGTACAATTTCCCACAACACGCCTAAGTCTCAGGCGGTACTGCTTGAGTCCCAGGTAGTCTCGCTGGTTTTGCTCTCCAAAACACAATATCTGTGTTAATACTTTTTAATCCGCCTTATTAGTGGTAAATTAAAAAAAACACAATATTTATGTAATTAACCCGACGATTACCCACTTAAAACACTCACTTCTTAATTGTCCCAAATGTTGAGTATCAATGTTTAGTGTCTCACCTTTGGGTGGGTCCACAAATTTGGTTAACTCACAACCTCCATGCCTATATCTACAGCCATATCACACATGTTAGTTCACCCTACATTGATATGATCCAAATTGGCCACTTCTACAAGTCACAATTACTTGTCAAAGAAGCTATCAAGGTTGGAAAGAAGAAGGGCAGAATTTGGCCAAGTCAAAATCCGTGTTCAGGGTACATAATTTGGAGGCATAATTCTCACAATTGGCTTTGTGGAAATTCAATGTTAAGGGTTTGTTTTGCAGATAAAGTTGTCATGTTTCCAATGGTATGCTTTTTTAATCCAGATGATGTCATTAAGGTTGTTTTCCAAAGCCTCAAAGTTGCTACCTCAAAACTGGAAAACTGCCAGAAAATGGTTGCTGGAAACTGTTTTGTGAAGCCTACTTTGGAGCTTAATTCGAGCAGTATGGATCTTATTCAAGTCCAAAGGCTTCCACAACATGAAACTAGGTATGTTTGTGAACAAAGGGAAGGAATTGGATGAAGAATTGGAGTTTGGGAAGGCCTCGAACGAAAGGTGCGAAGTTAGTACGAAGTCACAAAATTCTGCCTTTGTAAAAACAGAATTGTTTTCCTTATTCGATTAGGATTAGGTCCTTTTTGCTACTTTTTAGTTCTTATTCGTATTAGATTGTAATTATGAGTTGCTTGTACGAAAGTTAACCCTAGTTAGGCCTATTTAAACTCGTCTTTTGCATTGTAATCGTAAGACTTTGATTAATCGAATTGAGAACCTTTTGGTTTTTGTGCAAGTTGCGACTTGTTTGAGTTTGGTGGATTCCAAGCTTGTGAGCTTTGTATCGATTGAATATTCTCTTCAATCGTGGTCGAGCAGCTACCCTTTTATACCATACGAGCTTTCCCCAGGTGTGGAATTGTCCGTTGGTTCCGTTTTATCCCAAGTTCGTATTAAGAACGCTTCATTCTTGATTCGAGCTCAATCGATTCTTCGATTGAGTCGTTTGCTGCGTTACTTTGATAACATACACCCCCCAGGGGCGTATTAAGTGGTATCAGAGCCCGGTTCTATACAAGGGCGAAGGAGAAGAAGAAATCGACTGTTTTGGTACAAGCAAAATTCGGTTCAAAACAGAGCAGCCCCTGTTCGTCTTTCATAGCTGCTATTTTGTAATTGAATGTCGATTGAAAATTCAGTAGGAGTAAGGGAGATGGAAGAAGGCAAAAGAGAGGCTACGAATCCAGAAACGATAAAAGGTTCATCATTGGAGACTAACCAATCTGATTTCGAAGAATTGAAGGGCAGAAAAACACCCCTGTTTTTGACGAAAAACGAGGACAAGGACCCTCTATTGAGTCGAGCAATCCAGCTCGATTCGACCCAATTCAGTGCTACAGAAACATCAAGGGAGATCCTAGGAATGTGTCGAAGCAATCAATTCATCTCGAAGAAGCATCAATCAAAAACGCCCAAATTGAAAATTTTTGGCCGAAAGTTTGAAGAAGAAAAGAAAGCTTCGATTGGAGATATGGGGAGTGATTCGAACCCATTTGAAGTCGTGGACGAGCTTTTGGAGGTCCAAGGAAGGTATAAGAGTCATCAATTGGACGAGAAGATGGCGAAATTAAAAACGCCCAATTCGAGTTTTGGCTCGCCGGAAACTGGGTTTCCTTCGCCGGAATCTGGATTTTGGTTGCCGGATTCTGGAAATTTCGAATTTCCCAACGGCGGGAAAATCTCCAATCCAAAATTGCAACGATTGGAGCTGATTCGAAGGTCGGGAATGGTTTTTTTCGTGTCCTGGGATCCTGGCAAGTCGATCGTGTGCAATGAATTAGATCGTGGTAGCCGAGAAGCGAAATCCCCAAATGTGGAGCACTCGCCGGAGTTCTTGCCGGCGCTGGAAACTGAAATTTTGGGAGGACGAGTTCTGGGTTCGATTTTGCAAAATTTTTGCGTGGGGAAGGTCCATTGGAGACCCACGAATGTGATGAGACTCAAATCGTGGCAAACATGAGGAACATCGCGAGTTGACGAAGCTTTAATGTTTGACTTGCCGTGTTCAGAGTATCACTTTTGTGACCCGATTTGGGAGGCTTTCATTGACGATTTTGGTTGCGGGTCCAGACAAGCTTTGAGGACAAAGCTTTTTGAAGAGGGGGAGCCTGATATGATCCCAATTGTATCAATCCACAATTCAAAATTGCTTTCCAAAGAAGTCATCTCAACTCACTTGAAGAATTCTGATTTTTGGCCAAGTGTTGAAACAGTTTCAGGTAGCCTACTTTGGACGCTTGTATCTCACAAATGGCTCAATCAAAATTGGCGATCAAGAGCTTGTTTTGAAGATAATGTTATTATGTTTACATTGGTATGTTTTGGAGCTCAAGGAGATGTCTGGAATGTCACTTTCAAAGCCCATCAAATGGCTACCTCAAAACAGGAAAACTGCCTGAATTTGGCTAAGGCAGAAAACTGTTTTGAGATACCAACTTTGAAGGCCTATATCTGGAGTTTGGAGCATGATATCAAGCTGATTCAAGTTGGAGGTGAAACAAGAAGTTTTATTCTACAAAGGCAAGGAACTGGTTGAATTCGAATCAACCTAGAAGACCATTTTCTAAGGGCTCAAAGATGCTATGAAGCCTGTTTTCCTAGGCAGACTTGCTTGCGTTTTAAGTCCGTTTCTTGGCCAGCAAGTTACCTTGTTTTGAACGAATTATTTAGCCTTTTTCTGTTCTAATTAGTTTCCCAGTTCTATTAGGTTTATATTAGGTTTTTATTGTCTTTAAATAGCTTTCAATTTCACGTTGTAAATCATCCAAGTTTTAGTTGAGTGAAAATTGCTCCTTTGTGAGAATTGTGTTCTTTGAGAGTTCTCAAGAATCAAACCCTTGAGTTAGTCGTGTGAGGAATTCCATTGCTAATTCGAGAACCCTTGTGAGGCTTTTCTGTGAGGATTCCAGATTCGTTTTACAAGTTTCTTATCAATCAAGTAATCACCTTGATTGTGGCGAAATTCTACCTATCCGTTTTATCTTTCGTAGAAGAGTTCTGAGCTGCGTATTCTGATCAAACAAAGCACCCCCCTGGTGCTTTATCAAGTGGTATGGGGTGTATGTTATCAAAGTAACGCAGCAAACGACTCAATCGAAGAATCGATTGAGCTCGAATCAAGAACGAAGCGTTCTTAATACGAACTTGGGATAAAACGGAACCAACGGACAATTCCACACCTGGGGAAAGCTCGTATGGTATAAAAGGGTAGCTGCTCGACCACGATTGAAGAGAATATTCAATCGATACAAAGCTCACAAGCTTGGAATCCACCAAACTCAAACAAGTCGCAACTTGCACAAAAACCAAAAGGTTCTCAATTCGATTAATCAAAGTCTTATGTCTTTACAACGTAAATAGAAGAGTATTTATAGACAAATAAACCTAATGCAAACCTAATAGAACTAGGAAACAATTAAGGTAAAAATCTACTCTAAAAAGGACTCAAAATTCGGATTTAAACTCTCTTTCTTCAAGTGCAAGTAAGCTGCCAGCAAACAGTCCAAAAACAGCTTTCGTACTAACTTCACACCTTTCGTACAAGGCCTTCTAGAACTCCAATCTTTCATCCGATTCCTTCCCTTGGTAGATAAACATTCCTAGTTTCATGTTGTAGAAGCCTTTGGTCTCGAATCAGATCCATGCTCCTTGAATTGAGCTCCAAAGTAGGCTTCACAAAACAGTTTCCAGACAACCATTTTCTGGCAGTTTTCCAGTTTTGAGGTAGCAACTTTGAGGCCTTGGAAAACAACCTTAATGACATCATCTGGTTCCACCAAGCATACCATTGAAAACATGACAACTTTATCTGCAAAACAAACCCTTAACCTTGAATTTCCAACAAGCCAATTGAGAGAACCATGCCTCCAAAGTATGTACCCTGAACACGGATTTTGACTTAGCCAAATTCTGCCTTTCTTCTTCCCAACTTTGATAGCTTCTTTGTCAAGTAATTGTGACGTGAATGGTTGGAAATTTGGGATCATATCAGGCTCCCCCTCTTCAAAAAGCTTTTCCCTCAAAGCTTGATCCTTCCTCTTGTCAAAATCTGCACAGACCTGCTCATAAATGGGGTCAAAAGAAGGAAGCTCAAACTCCAACTTCTGCAAGACTTTGGCAGCTTCTTCTACTCGTGCTACTACTTCTTTCTGACGAAATTCCAGCTCCTGCATCTTCTTAGGACTCCATTTGGCACCTTTCATGCTTTCAGTTGGCATAATTACGCCCAGACTACGATTTTCTTTGTTTCCAGATTCCGGCAGCACGCACCGCCGCGATGAACTTCGCCAGATTGGGGCTTTTTGATTCACAGCTTCATCCTTCAATCCAGGGCACGAATCAGCTTTCTTAATCAAAGAATTACACTCCTCGATCGATTCTATGCATGGAATGCACCTGAGACGCAGTGAATCATGGCCTGAAATTTCCCCGCCGTCGTCCGAATTTAAATTTTCGGAACCCAGCAAGCTCAATGTCGAATTGGGCGTTAGTGAATCAAACCTCATTGCGATGAATTGATTGATCGTACGGCTTCCTGGCACGTCCCTTGATGGTTCTCCATCAGCCAGTTTGATTGAATCGACCTGGTTCGATCCACCCAAGAGAGGGTCCTCGTCGGCAGTGTTCTTCACGAACAGAGATGGTTTGGCGCGAATTGAATCTCCAATTACAGGTATGTTTGGCTCCAATGAAACAACACCTGAGATTCCTGGGGTCGGATTGAATATTTCGGCAGCGTTGTCGGAGCTCGACGTTGCCCCTAGAGCTCCGACCAATTGGGTCTCTCGCCTGCTCTGTTTCGTCGGCGGAGAGTTGGGAAGCTCTGCTGCGTGCGTCTCCGGGTTGATTCGCGCATCGATAGCTGGTTCAAGGGCTTCTCCTCGCGCTCCAATACCTCCATCAACATCCACGGATGCATTTCTGGACGAGTTGTGCGACGGCGTCGCCTCTTCGTCATCAACAGAATTGTTGGCTTCGATGCTCTGTTTTTGCAAAGAAAAACAGGGATTGTCTTGCTCTGGCTGGGTCTTTGCTTGATCGACCTTCCCTAGCCATGGTTTCACTAGTATAGCCTTCTGATACTCCTCTTGGAGTCGGTGAAGCTCCTTCAAATCTTCGGCAGCTGCCTCCGGAGCCAAAGGGTTGACGACAAACACCTTGTTTTGACTCTGAATACGAAATCTCTTGCTCCGTCGACTGGTAAAACAGACTTGACGATCCCTGAACCATGGTTGTCCCAATACGAGGCTGCTAGGGAGATTTAGAACCACGTCACACAGGACTTGGTCCTCGTAGTGGCCAATCGAGAACGTCACGGCCACCTTGGAAACGACCATGTTGAATTTGTCTTCGTACGGTGATTGTACGACGTAGGGAGCTGGATGCGGCTGCAATGGAAGCTTCAATTTGCTGACAATCCGGAGGGAAATCAGATTTCTCTCCCTGCCTCCATCAACGAGCACTAAACCCAGCTGATCCTGGATTAAACAACGGGTGAAAATCATGGAACTCGCTAACTCTTCTGCTGCCATGGGTGCTCTGTTTTCGTGACTCTGCTTGCGGCAGATTTTTTTTTTTTTGTATGAATCCACAGCCCTTCAATCCTTCCTCGCCCTGACTTGAACGGGTCTCTGATACCACTTGATAAAGCACCAGGGGGGGTGCTTTGTTTGATCAGAATACGCAGCTCAAAACTCTTCAACGAAAGATAAAACGGATAGGTAGAATTTCGCCACAATCAAGGTGATTACTTGATTGATAAGAAACTTGTAAAACGAATCTGGAATCCTCACAGAAAAGCCTCACAAGGGTTCTCGAATTAGCAATGGAATTCCTCACACGACTAACTCAAGGGTTTGATTCTTGAGAACTGTCAAAGAACACAATTCTCACAAAGGAGCAATTTTCATTCAACTAAAACTTGGATGATTTACAACGTGAAATTGAAAGCTATTTAAAGACAATAAAAACCTAATATAAACCTAATAGAACTAGGAAACTAATTAGAACATAAAAAGGCTAAATAATTCGTTCAAAACAAGGTAACTTGCTGGCCAAGAAACGGACTTAAAACGCAAGCAAGTCTGCCTAGGAAAACAGGCTTCATAGCATCTTTGAGCCCTTAGAAAATGGTCTTCTAGGTTGATTCGAATTCAACCAATTCCTTGCCTTTGTAGAATAAAACTTCTTGTTTCACCTCCAACTTGAATCAGCTTGATATCATGCTCCAAACTCCAGATATAGGCCTTCATAGTTGGTATCTCAAAACAGTTTTCTGCCTTAGCCAAATTCAGGCAGTTTTCCTGTTTTGAGGTAGCCATTTGATGGGCTTTGAAAGTGACATTCCAGACATCTCCTTGAGCTCCAAAACATACCAATGTAAACATAATAACATTATCTTCAAAACAAGCTCTTGATCGCCCATTTTGATTGAGCCATTTGTGAGATACAAGCGTCCAAAGTAGGCTACCTGAAACTGTTTCAACACTTGGCCAAAAATCAGAATTCTTCAAGTGAGTTGAGATGACTTCTTTGGCAAGCAATTTTGAATTGTGGATTGATACAATTGGGATCATATCAGGCTCCCCCTCTTCAAAAAGCTTTGTCCTCAAAGCTTGTCTGGACCCGCAACCAAAATCGTCAATGAAAGCCTCCCAAATCGGGTCACAAAAGTGATACTCTGAACACGGCAAGTCAAACATTAAAGCTTCGTCAACTCGCGATGTTCCTGATGTTTGCCACGATTTGAGCCTCATCACATTCGTGGGTCTCCAATGGACCTTCCCCACGCAAAAATTTTGCAAAATCGAACCCAGAACTCGTCCTCCCAAAATTTCAGTTTCCGGCGCCGGCAAGAACTCCGGCGAGTGCTCCACATTTGGGGATTTCGCTTCTCGGCTACCACGATCTAATTCATTGCACACGATCGACTTGCCAGGATCCCAGGACACGAAAAAAACCATTCCCGACCTTCGAATCTGCTCCAATCGTTGCAATTTTGGATTGGAGATTTTCCCGCCGTTGGGAAATTCGAAATTTCCAGAATCCGGCAACCAAAACCCAGATTCCGGCGAAGGAAACCCAGTTTCCGGCGAGCCAAAACTCGAATTGGGCGTTTTTAATTTTGCCATCTTCTCGTCCAATTGACGACTCTTATACCTTCCTTGGACCTCCAAAAGCTCGTCCACGACTTCAAATGGGTTCGAATCACTCCCCATATCTCCAATCGAAGCTTTCTTTTCTTCTTCAAACTTTCGGCCAAAAATTTTCAATTTGGG